GTAATTTATTTATCTCAAAATAAATTGTACAACTGTATATTTCAGAGAATTAATTCTGCACAAAGTACAAAAAGGTTCCTTACTTAATGAAGTACTAAGCTAGGTAAATAACTTGATCAAGCATAAGCAGTGCTAAAAAAATGATGCTGTGTGTCACTGAGCATTGAATTAATTATATAATCTGATTAGAATAATCCTGGTAGATTTAGCGTTTATCATAAGTGTTTGCTTTACCAAATTCATCTGAGAACTTGTCTTGTTGAAAAATTCTCTATCTCAAAGACTAACTTATCAAGAGACACAACTTATTTTACAGGGCCTTGAGAACATAAGAATTAGGTGAAATGATGAGCCGTAGGAGACAAAATGGATAGGAACATCATGTCAGTCAAATAAATTCCATGTATAGAAGAATCAGGCAGCCCATCTCAAAAGTGTTTTACACATTTCCCAGAAGATCTGCCCATCAAAGGATCAGCAGATCTGTCTGTTTAATCCTTTGGTAAGCTATTTCAAAGCTGTTTCTAAGCTTTATTTTATTTAAGACAATGTTTATTGTTTACAGAAGTGTCAGGTACTATTAATTACCTGCTGAATTGATATTTCTTGTGTAAAATTTCCCTGTATAAATTAAGCAACAGTAAACAGATCTATTGTTTGTTCAGGATTAACTCTCAGATTTCTTTTGGACACTTTGTACTTTTAGATTATAGAGAGTTTAGGTGTTTTTTGATGCAAGTTAAGAAAAAAAGAGCTGAAGGCACCTAAATAATGTCATAGTCACTGTGATTTTGTTTTTGTACACAGATCCAGAACTGGGGGCCACCTAGACTCTCCAGCCTCAAATAACACTGATCTTGCTAATGTTGATCTCGCGTAGTGCACAATCTGCGCACTTTAACTTGTATGCCTCTGTCTAAGTCTTTTTGATCTGTACATCCTTTGCTTACTATGATCTGCCTATACCGCTTGTAAACAAAGTTTTTCACTGTATTTTAGTACATGTGACAATCAATCAACCAAATCAATCAATAATCAAAAATAGGAACTCCGACCAATCTTTGTCTCCTGAACCTAGAAGATTGCAGTAAATCATGGCAAAGTCTGCAGAAGATTAATTCATTCAAATCCAAGATTTCCATTGACTGTACAGCTGAAAACATCATGGCCCAAATCATCCGGCCTCTGGATGACTGGAGTGGATTTATATTGTAATGCGAAGGAACTTTAAAATTCTAAAGGGGAATTCCTCTACCTGCTCCACCTCCGCCACCACCCCCCACTCCCACCACCACCTTGAGGAATGTTTGTTAACATCTCTCTCTCTGAATTAGAGCTGAAGACTTAGGACATCTCCACAGTATTTACCACAGTAGTTCCCCAGGAAATGTGAGATAGTTTAAAACCTGCTCTAACAAAGGGATAACTTACCCTCACCAATCTTTCAACTACTTTCCCTAACCCAAACTAACACGCTCCCAACTATCACCCCAACAATCTGGTTACTCTCCTGACTTGACAAAAGCCACCAGACCTTCCCCTTTGACCCAACTCAACAATCTCCCAATCACATATGTACCCTTCAAAACTAACTCAGATACACCCTGAATGCCTGACCAGATCCGACCAGCATTCAACCTGATCACACACTCACCTCTCCCTTCTCACCCACATTGTTACCTACCCACTTACTCACTACCCACCTCACCAACATTACCACTTACCAATTCACACACCTATCTCATCCCACCCAGATCACCACCTACCCACTCATTCTAAACACCTCACCAACATGACCACCTACCCACACACTCACTATTCACCTCATCAACATTATCACCTACCCACACACTCACTATCCACCTCACCAACATTACCACCTACCCACACACTCACTATCCACCTCACCAACATCTCCACCTACCCACACACTCACTATCCACCTCACCAACATCTCCACCTACCCACACACTCACTATCCACCTCACCAACATTACCACCTACCCACACACTCACCTCTCCACTCACCTACCAACACACTCAGCCACACATCCACTTTACTCATGTACCACTTGCCCAAATAATACACCTCACCCACTTATCCATTCGCTAACCCATTCTCATTCTGTGGAAGACAGTACCTTTCAATAAATTTCACAAAATAGTAGCTAATGGTGTCAAATTGGGATTGTGTTCTGTGCTGATCTTCTTGGCAAGTGTCCATGTTGATCCCTGTTCCAAGGGAGATTTTCTGCATCCTAGATCAGAGTCTAGCTTTTTTAAATGTAAGCAGGGAAGTGGCCAGTTTTCTGTCTGCCCAGGGCTAGTTGCAATGTTTCTGACACTGATCACAAGACGTGGGCTAGTATCTTCCAATAATTCAAAACATGTTTATGTTTGCCCTAGGCTGAACAAATCTTGGAATAGTTGGTCAATTAGCTGGTGGCTGCATGTGGATTGTAGCTTGTCAGGATGGAGGAGGTTACACAGAGGGTGAAGGGCATTTCCTTGAAGATATTTTTAAACAATGATAAGAATTTTAAAATGAAGCCTGGCTAGAAAAGGGACTGATTAGCAAAGTGATGTGGTTCCACGGAGTTCCTCTGCAGATGTGAATATGTTTCCTACAACAGTGACTACATTCCAAAATTATTTCCTTGGCTGTAAGGTGCTTCAGAACAACCTGAAATTACAATAGGTGCTATATAAATGCAATTCTTTCTTTATGCATTATATACTAATGATCTTTTAAAAAAATAGAAAAGGTACTGATAAAATACAATATACAAGGAGTTGACTGGCTCAGTGGGATTCTTCTCCCTGGAGCAGTGATAATTAAGGAAATTTAGCATGAGTGTTTAAAATTAAGATGGCTCTGAAAGCAATTATAAGCAGAATGGGATGTACTGCAAGATGGGTTGCCAAGGTTAGGTTCATCTAATATACAAAGGAATTACAGAATGACAGGACTGTTATGGAGGTGCAGGAGGAGGCCATTTGACCCATCATGTTGGTACTGACTGTTGGAGCATTTTGATTTAATGCCAACCTCTTGTCTTTCCCCTGTCACCCTGCATGTTGCTTCTATTCAAATGATTATCTAATGCCCTTTTGAATGTCTCAATTGAACTTGCCTCCACCACATTTCCAGACCCTAACTCCTTGCTGTGTGAAAAAGTTCTTTTTTTACCCCATCCTGTATTTGCTTCCTTTGCAAAGCAGTTTAAAAGTGTACATCCTCTTAAGAGCAGGAACATTTTCTTTCTGGATTCTCTGTGCAGACCGCTCAATGACTTTAACGACTTCTATCCGATCTCCTCTTAGTCTCCTCCTACGTAAGGAGAACTGTCCCTACTTCTCTAATGTATTCTTGCAGACCTCTTCCAAACACCGTCCCATGCATCCATATCCTTCCTAACATGTGACACCTTGAACTGTACACAATGTTCCAGCTAAATCCTAACTGGAATCAGGCAACAGCAGTGAATGTGTTCACATCGCCAGTTGTTAAAATCTGTCCAAGAGGGTGCTGAAAACAGTTTCAACAGTAACCTTCAAAGTGACATTTGATTGGCATAGGAAGAGAACGTTTTGAGAGGGGAGGGGAGGGGACAGAATGGGGTCGTGTGACTTAGTGACTTTTTTTTTCCCCTGAAGCTGACTAAATTCATAGACAACAAGGTGCAGGGCTGGATGAACACAGCAGGCCAAGCAGCATCATAGGAGCAGAGAGGCTGACGTTTCAGGCCTAGACCCTTCATCAGAAAAGGGGGAGGGGAAGGGGGTTCCGAAATAAATAGGGAGAGAGTGGGAGGCAGATAGAAGAGGGATAGAGGAGAGGAAACAAACAGGTCGAAGAGGCGGGGATGGAGCCAGTAAAGGTGAGTGTAGGTAGGGAGTTAGGAAGGGGATAGGTCAGTCCAGGGAGGACGGACAGGTCAAGGGGGCGGGATGAGGTTGGTCGGTAGGAGATGGAGGTGCGGCTTGAGGTGGGAGGAGGGGATAGGTGGGAGGAAGAACAGGTTAGGGAGGCAGGGACGAGCTGGACTGGTTTTGGGATGCGGTAGGGGGAGGGGAGATTTTGCAACTTGTGAAATCCAAGCGGAGGCTCGGGGACCGCTTTGCAGAACACCTACGCTCGGTTCGCAATAAACAACTGCACCTCCCAGTCGCGAACCATTTCAACTCCCCCTCCCATTCCTCAGACGACATGTCCATCCTGGGCCTCCTGCAGTGCCACAACGATGCCACCCGAAGGTTGCAGGAACAGCAACTCATATTCCCCTTGGGAACCCTGCAGCCCAATGGTATCAATGTGGATTTCACAAGTTTCAAAATCTCCCCTCCCCCCACCACATCCCAAAACCAGTCCAGCTCGTCCCTGCCTCCCTAACCTGTTCTTCCTCCCACCTATCCCCTCCTCCCACCTCAACCCGCACCTCTATCTCCTACCGACCAACCTCATCCCGCCCCCTTGACCTGTCCGTCCTCCCTGGACTGACCTATCTCCTCCCTATCTCCCCACCTACACTCACCTTTACTGGCTCCATCCCCGCCTCTTCGACCTGTTTGTTTCCTCTCCACCTATCTTCTCCTCTATCCATCTTCTATCCGCATCCCACTCTCTCCCTATTTATTTCAGAACCCCCTTCCCCTCCCCCTTTTCTGATGAAGGGTCTAGGCCTGAAACGTCAGCCTCTCTGCTCCTATGATGCTGCTTGGCCGGCTGTGTTCATCCAGCCCTGCACCTTGTTGTCTCGGATTCACCAGCATCTGCAGTTCCTACTATCTCAAATTCATAGACAGGCCTTTTTGTGCGTGATTATCACTTCCTTCCAGGCAGAACTGGAGGCAGTAAAGAGACCATCTTGTCAACGAAACGTGAAATGAGGAGGAGTTTGCCAGCTCAAAAAAGTATCAATGCAGCCCAATGCGGAAGGTAAGGCGCTGTTTGCTGGGATTCAGACGTGAAATGAAGGAAGAAAGCTTTAACTGAATTTGTTTGGGCCGCTAGAATTTTGCACTGTTACAGTTAACCCACTATACAAAAGGTAGTTCTGGGGTAGGGGAGATCTTTCGGTACAGGAATAAAATGCTTGCCGAAGATGATTCGCTGGAGAGACTGAAACATTTAAGATCTTGAAGAGTGAGCGAATCTTAAAGGGCCGGCTCAATGAAGTATTTTCTTGTTTTTCTTTTATAAACAACTTGGGTTTAAAACCGCGCCCTGAAGTGTCGGTCAGACTGCAAGCGGTTGAGAAAGAGAGAGAGACATCCGAATCCGTGTGTAACCCAGCGAATAGCCAAAGACAGACCGAGGATAGAGACTGGATAGAGACTGAGCCAGACAGAGGGAAGAGTATAGGCTGTAGGAAATGAATTAACGAGGTGCAGAGATATCTCAGACTATGGGGAACAATATCCTCTCTGGTATGAACAGAAAGCTGAGTAAGACAGGGGCTTCTAACTGAAACATTTGTCCAAACCACTAACAATGGAAAGGTATCTTTACTCCATCGTTTTGATTAAAACAAAAACATTCTTGAGATGGGAGCATTGATGGCTGGGCCAACATTTATCGCCCAATTCCTTGCTGCTCAGCGGAGGGTGGTGGTGAGCTGTCTCCTGGAACCTTTGCAGTCCATGTTGCATGACAGAGGGGTTTCCAGGATTTTGACCCAGCCACACTGAAGGAATGGTGATACAGTTCCAAGTCAGGGTGGTGTATGAATTAGAAAGAGAACTTGAAGATGGTTTTCTGCTGCTCTTCTCCTTCCAGTTGGTAACGTGTACAGGTTCGGAAGGTACTGTCAAAGAGGTCTTGGGGAAATGAATGTACTGGTGTCCATTTCAAAGTATGCAAAAGGATTGGAGGGGCTCTTGTGGTGCATGTGATAGAGCCCCTACCTCACCAATGTGGTTAGTGCCCATAGTCTGCAGAATTCAGCGCATTCAACTGTTTCTTGATATATTGTGGAGTGAATTGAGTTGCTTGAAAACTGGCATCTGTGAGGCTGGGGATCCTAGGAGACCAAGATGGATCATTCACACGACACTTCAGACTGAAGACTGAAGCAAATGGTTCAGCCTTGTTTGTTTGCATCAGTGTGCTGGGCTCTTCATCAATGAAGATGGGGACATTAGTGATAGTCGTTTAATTGTCCAACACCGTTCATGACTGGATGCAGAGCTTTACTCTGATCTGTTGGTTGTGGGATCACTTAGCCCTGTCTATCTCTCACTTCTGCTGTTTGACATGCAAATAGTCCTGTGTTGTACCTTCATATAACACTTCATGTATAGATGTTACTGTTGCTGATTCTTGCATGCCCTCCTGCATGCACCATTATACCAGGGTTGATTATAATGTAGAGTAGAGCCCTGTGGTTGAATACAATTTTGTTTATGTTGGTGGCTCACAGCACCTCATGGATATTCTGTCTTGAGTTGCTAGATCACTTTAAAATTTATCTACAATGGTAGCATCAGGCAACATGATAGGGATTATCCTCAATGTGAAGATGGGGCTTCCTTTTCATGAATACTGTGCTGTGGATATTCCTGCTGATACTATCAGAGACACGTTTGTGATATGTAGATTGTTGTGGATGAGATCAAGTAGGTTTTTCCCTCTAGTTGGTTCTTTCACCAGATGCCACGGTTTCAAACTAGCAGTAATGTCCTTTAGGACATAACCAGCTATGTCAGTACTGGTGCTGCTTTTGGTAATGGCCATTTAAGGCCTCTGTCCAGAGTACAGTCTATCCCCATACTACCCTGAATGCATCCACCAATTGGCATTCAACATGGACAACTGATTCATCAGCTCAGAGGGAGTGGTAGTTGATGAAAAGCAGGAGGTTTCTTTGTCAGTGTTTGATTTGATGTTTTGAGACTTCACAGTGTTGGAATAAATGTTGAGGACTTCTGGTGTAACTCCCTCATGACTGTGTATAGTGGCACTGCCACCTCTGAATCTTTCCTGCCTCTGGAACTCGACATACCCAGGGCTGGTGACTGTGGTGTCTGGGACATGGTGTGACTATGACTAGGTAGTCTGTGACTAGTCAGGGCCCAAGATCCCAGACTTTGTTTATGGTTTCCAGTGTCTAGATCAATGCTAGGTGGTTTTCCAGTTACATTCCTTTTCTTAGACTTTCTAATGGTCTCAAAAAACCTCAATGACTTACTTGGCCATTTTAGAGGGCAGTTATGAATCAGCCACATTGCAATAGGTCTGGAGGTATGTGTAGACCATACCAGGTAAGAACAGCAGATTTCCTGCCCTAAAGGACAATTCTGAATTAGATGGATTATTACGACAATCAACAATGGTTTCATGATTGATATTAATAAAGCAGGAATTTTTAAAAAAAAGTGTAATTAAATGTATATTTCACATTCTTCTGCGGTGAAATTTGACCCCACATTTGCCAAGCATTAGCTAGACATCTGGATTACTAGTCCAATGACATTAGCACTGTGACAGAGGAGTGCTGCAGTGTGACCCCCACAGCCATCGCTAATAGATCCCTTTATGAACAGACCCTGCGCACCCTTTAGTGTACACCGGCATGGCTTTCCTTGATTGTGGTTTTTGTCTGTACCTTGCACAACCCGGTGCTGCAGAAAAAGTTTGTGGGAGAATGGTCTGTGGCAGACATCCACATGAATAAGACATCAGGTAGACTTAGAAGTCGTTAATCATAAGGCACTTCTCAGGAGTTGAATAACATCTGCTTTCTGCCACCGTACATTCTGATGTCAGACTGGTACATGGGCATGGAAGCTTTGCCTGACTGTGAATGTCCCCCGAAGTGGCTTCAGACTTACTGAGTGGCACAAAACCATCTAGTTGCAGTACATCCCTCTCAGTGACTGAGACACTCATATTTACTGGTGGATATTTAATAAATGCATTAAAAAAACATAAAATATGGGTTTGCATTTAACAGTCACAAAATCTTACACTAGTGAACTCCCAAGTGTGTTTGTGTGCTTTCTTAATTAGTTTCTGATGGTGCTCCTCCCTTCACTGCCAACTGCAGTGGATGCAATGCTAACCTCTTCACCCCTTTTATTGACCTTGGTGGGCATCTGCTAGCTGTTTGAGGCCATGACGGCCCCCTGTCCAGCTCATGTCAATACTTTACCTTCCTTCCCAACAACTTACTGTAAAGTTAAAGTTACCATAGTCCTAACGGGTTGTAGGGTTATTCCCTCATTAGGGAGGGACAACTGGGTGCTGGTGATTTAACCGGAGGGTCACCAGACCTCAGGCGAGGGGAGAGGTTGAGAAGGAGAATTGTTCATGGTAACCTCATTTGGTGCAGGAATCGAACTCATGCTGTTAGCAGCTCTCTGCGTTGCATCCAGCCAAACGAGCGAACTGCCAAATTGGCAGGGAGGGAGGGGGACAAATGGCTGTGTTTTTTTAGGTAAGTGAGGGGAGTGTGATAGAAGTTTATTATGAGGAAACTTGGATTCTAGGTTAGAGTTAAATGGGGTTTTGGTTTTAGTTCTGTGACGGTGACTTTTTTTTTAAAACAGAATAAGTCAGAATAACAGAATGACCAGAGAAAGGGTAGGGCCGATCAAGGATCGTAAAGGGAATTTGTGCACGGAGCCTAAAGAGATAGGAGAGGTCCTTAATAAATACTTTTCTTCGGTATTCACAACTGAGAGGGACCTAGTTGTAGAGGAGGACAGTGTGAAACAGGCTGGTAGGCTAGAGGAGGTCGATGTTAATAAGGAAGATGTGCTAGGAATTTTGAGAAGGTTGAAGATAGATAAGTCCCCCCCGGCCTGATGGGATTTATCCAAGGATTCTATGGGAAGCGAGGGTAGAGATTGCAGGGCCTTTGCCGATGATCTTTTCGTTCTCACTGTCCATGGGTATAGTGCCGGAAGATTGGAGCGAGGCAAACTTCATTCCCTTGTTCAACAAAGGGAATAGGGATAACCCCAGAAATTATAGGCCAGTTAGTCTTACGTCAGTGGTGGGCAAATTATTGGAAAGGGCTCTGTGAGATAGGATTTATGATCACTTGGAAAGGCACAGTTTGATTTGTGATAGTCAGCATGGATTTGTGAGGGGTAGATCATACCTCACAAACCTTATTGAATTCTTTGAAGAGGTGACCAAACAGTGGATGAAGGTATAGCAGTGGATGTGGTATACATGGATTTAAGTAAGGCGTTTGATAAGGTTCCCCATGGTAGGCTCATGCAGAAGGTAAGGAGGCAGGGGATAGGGGGAAATGTGGCAGATTGGATTCAGAATTGGCTGACCCTGAGAAGACAAAGGGTGGTAGTGGACGGAAAATATTCAACATGGTGCTCAGTTACGAGTGGTGTACCACAGGATCTGTTCTGGGTCCTCTCCTATTTGTGATTTTTGTAAATGATTTAAATGAAGGAGTGGAGGAGTGGATTAGCAAGTTCGCAGACGATACGAAGGTCGCGTTGTGGACAATGCAGAGGGCTGTTCTAAGTTACAAAGGGACATTGATAGGATGCAGAGCTGGGCTGAGAAGTGGCAGATGGAGTTTAACCCTGAAAACTGTGAGGTGATTCATTTTGGAAATACAAACTTGAAAGCAGAATACAGGGTTAACGGAAAGATTCTTGGCAGTGTGGAGAAGCAGAGGGATCTTGGGGTTCATGTTCACAGTTCCCTGAACGCTGCCACCCAGTGTGGATAGAGTTGTTAAGAAGGCGTATGGTGTGTTAGCTTTCATTAATAGAGAGATTGAGTTCAATCAGAGCTCCAGCTATACAAAAGCCTGGTTCGGCCACATCTGGAGTATTATGTCCCGTTCTGGTCGCCTCATTACAGGAAAGATGTGAAAGCATTGGAAAAAGTGCAGAGGAGATTTACCAGGATGTTGCCTGGAATGGAGGGAAGGTCTTACGAGGAAAGGTTGAGAGAGCTAGGGCCTTTCTCTTTAGAATGACGAAGGATGAGACGTGACTTGATAGAGGTGTACAAAATGATCAGAGGTATAGATAGACAGCCAGAGACGTTTTCCTAGGGTGGAGGTAGCTATTA